AGAGGCATCAGATTAATGCTTGCACCCAAATCAGCCAGGGCCCTATCAAAAGTAAGATCTCCTATAAAGCAGGGAATAGTAAAAGAACCTGGATCCTTAAGCTTCTTCGGCAGATCTGTCCGTATCACAGCTGAGCACTCCTCATTAAGCGTCACAGTAGACGCTTCTTCCAGCCTCCTTTTGTTTGTGAGCAAATCCTTCATAAACTTTGCGTACTTCGGCATCTGAGCTAGTGCATCCACGAATGGTAAGTTAATCTGCACTTGTTTCATGAGATGCAGAAACTTACCAAACTGGTCACTATCGTTCTTCCTAGTCAATCGCGCCGGATAGGGGAGAGGTGGGGTGTAATTCTTGACCGGAACGGACTGTTTTGGTGCAGCCGCCACCTCTCTTCCCTCATCTTTCTCCTTCTCTTCCTCCCGGACAGCCGGTTCAACTTGAACTTCATCGGGCTTCTTTGTTGTGGCAGCAGGTTCCAGCTCTTTTCCGCTCCTCAAGGTCACAGCCTGAACATGTTCTCTGGGATTTGGTTCAGTATTACTAGGGAGGGATCCCTGAGGCCTCTCAGATACAGCCTTAAAGATCTGCCCCAATTGAGTTTCCATGTTATGCATCCTTGCATCAGTCACTTGCATGTATTTCTTGAATGTGTCTTCCAAACTAGAGAATCTTTGCTCAGTCTCTTTTCTAAAACTCCCTTGCTGCGGCTGAGGTGCTTGTTGTTGGCCTTGAGGTACCTGGGGTTGATTAAAGTTTCTTGACTGCTGCTGATTTCCCTGCCCGTATTGCCCTTGCTGCTGCTGTCCGTAGGGCTGATTATAATAGCCCTGTCGCTGATAATACATCGCATCCACTTGCTCTACTCCAGGGGCTGCCGAGTGTGCCATCATTGTGCATTCATGTGACGAATGGAGTCCCCCACACATAGAACAAGAGGGACTAATAGGAACGGGGGCTACCATATTCACACTGGGCACCGAGAGAGCAAGTTCCGTCTTCTTTTGATTGTCTTCCACTGTAGTAGCAAGCTTCTGAATCAAACTGGTCAAAGCATCTACCCTTGCAGAAAGGGCAGAATTCTCACTGATCTCGTACAATCCCGGGGCCTTCTGGTGAGGTGTGTCCCGAGAGCTGTACCATGAAGCATTATTAGTCACGATCTTCTCCACTAATTCTTCCGCAACCTCAGATGGCAACTGAGGAAAAGCTCCACCTCCCGAAGCATCAAGCATCATCTTTCCTTCATTGTTGAGTCCACTATAGAAACAAGATAGAACCTCACAATCAGTCATCTTGCCTTGAGGGCAAGCTCTTCTCAGCACCTTGAATCTCTTCCACGCCTCAGCTAATGTCTCCAATGAACCCTGCTTGAATTCCTGTAGCTGCTTCTTCAACTTTATGGCCTTTGATGTTGGGAAGTATTCTTTGATGAAGGCCTTGTGCAGCTGGTCCCAAGTCTGAATGTGGTGATGTGGATTGCTATCCAACCACCTCTGCGCGTCATCCCTCAAAGAAAAAGGAAATAATAGCATCCGTACCTGATCATCATCTAGCCCAGGGATCTTGAAAGTCTGGCACATCCTCAGAAATTTGGTAATGTGTGCCACTGGATCTTCCGTAGGGCTCCCTCCGAACTGATTATTTAGGACCATATTGATCACCGCCGGCTTGATCTCGTATCGGGGTGCAGTAATCCCCGGTACCTGAATGCTGTCGTACTCTGTGATCTCGGGGGCTAGGAAGTCTGCAATGCTCTCTCCTTGATAGAGTGGATTGTCATGTGGAACATAGTTGTGGTAAGGAGGAGCTTGATATCTCGGCTGATGAACTGGTTGTGGTCTTATGGGTTGTGGACGGATGATATTTGGCTGAGGTTGGGTTTGATGGAATTGTTGATACTGGGGTTGGAAGGGCTGATTTTGTGGCTGAGTAGGGGGTGGATTTTGTGTGACAGGCGGTTGGTTCTGTCTGGGCTGAAAAACCGGATTATTTTGCCCTAGACCTTGCATCCCAAAGGTTTGGTTTTGAAAGGTGGGTTCGGGAGCAATAGAAGTGTTTTGAAAGAGCTGATAGAGTGGTGGAAGATTTAGTTGTGGAGTGGACTGATTTTGGGGGAAGAATGGGGTACGGAGATTTTGATACCCCGGATAAGCTCTAGGTGAATTTTCTTGTGAAGACTGGGGAGAGGTATTGACATAAAAATCCAAATTACCAGAAGTGGTTTGGACCTCAGACGTCCCAGCTATTCCAGATGCGGATGGTTGATCCATGGTTGCTTTCTGTTCTCTTAAGGCCTTGCGGTTCTGCTTAGCTAGCTTCTCGATCTCAGGATTAAGAGGGACTAGTGATTCTCCCTTCTTAGAGCGTGTATGCATAAACAGATCTGACCTGCAAGGTTAGTAGACAAAAATCCTACGAAAAACTAAAAAAACAAGTCGCTAAAATTAATTAACCCTTAAATCCGACACCGTCCCCGGCAACGGCGCCAAAAACTGATGTGAGTTTTCTCGCACTTAAAATAGTTGTAGAAAAGTGGTTGAAAGTACGAGTATCGTCTCCACAGGGACGGACAAAAGGGAATTAAAGATTAACTAAATTCAGCGATTAAACAGAAATAAATAAATTAAAATGCGATGTGCGAGATTGATTGATTGAATTAAAATTAAAACTAATGCTAATGAGCGATAAAAACAAAAGATTGGTTTCTTCTCAATTAACGACGAAGGGAACAGGGATTGATTCCGGGGTAACCAGATTTCTGGCAGATCAGGCCTAATTACATGAATTTAATTTAATTGAGCCTAGCTAATCATTACTAAGTTCTTACCGCTCTCGCGGCGTAGAGTACAATAATTTAGGGGACCAGGCTGATCTCTCATGCGACAGGATCCTAAATTATTGCCAAGACGAGCGAGCTTACGGCCCTTAATCGCTACTAATCTCTTAGCGAACGATTAAGTGTGTGTGAATGTGTCCTAGAACAAATTAGATCTCTCTTAATTCATTCTACATGCAATTGTAATTCTAGCTGCAGTCTAGGTTACAAGAGATATCAATTAAATTATTCAAACACAAATTAAACGGCATTCATGCAATTAAACCGACAAGAATCTAGCCATCATTCATGATTAACCCCTTCATCAACCCCAAATCCCTAATTAAACTACTCACAATTCATAATTGAAAAATCAACAGAATTGGGATGAATAGAAATAATTGTCATTAATTAAAAAGATGAACTTACAAATAATCCCAGGGTCTTGGAAGAAAATAGCGTAAAAACGGTGTTAAATTCGTCCCTAGGCCTCTCCGTAATGTTCGTAACCCCAAATCGGGGTTATGGAGGCCTTATTTATAGAAAACAGGAAATTTGGATCGATTTAGGACAAATCGCGGCCAGGCACGGTGCCAGGCACGATCGTGCCTGCGACCGTGCCTGCGGAAGAGACGCGCAAAAATTAAGCAGACACGATCGTGCCTGCACCGGACACGATCGTGTCTGGCTGCCAGTAGCTTCACGTTGATTTAGATGGCAGGCACGATCGTGTCTGACCTAGGCACGGCCGTGCCTGCCCTTTTCTTCACCATTTTTCTTCGTTTCTCGTTCCGAATGCTCCCGAATGCCTACGAGGTCGATCCAAATGCTCTTTCTTCACCAGAATTTCGTCGTGAATCTCCCAGTGGCCTCCAAATCTTCCAAATCTTTCTCGAATGTCTTCAAATCCTTCCCGAATGCCTCTCAAGCGCCGATTGCCGGACTCTAACTTCTTCAAATCAACTCCAAATGCTATGAAACTCGATCCAACGCCTGTTAAACACAACTTGAGCCAAAATTGAGACTTGCAACGCCTTAAAGCCAGGAAAATCATCAAAATCCGACCCGAACACGCATCAAATGCGTGTCTAAATACGGACTTATCAATCTACGAAGACAACACCGCATGCATAACTCAAATTAAAGAAGGCTACATCAAAGGAGATAGAACGAAGCACATATCTCCAAAGTTTTTCTCTATTCATGACCTTGAGAAAGAAGGGACAATCAACATTCAACAAATCAGATTCAGTGAAAATCCAGCTGATCTCTTCACCAAATCATTACCCCCGAAGAAGTTCATGGAACTTGTACAGAAAATCGGCATGCGCCGCCTTAATAATTTATGTTAATTTCAGGGGGAGTATTTGAATGCACTGCACTCTTTTTCCCTTCATCAGGTTTTTATCCCACTGGGTTTTTCCTGATAAGGTTTTTAACGAGGCAGTACATCCAAATACAACGACATTATAAGTCGTAATTTTTACTCCTTTAATTTCACACTAATTTTCACAATAAATTTTTAACATAACAAATATCTATTCAAGGATGAACATTCAAGGGGGAGTGTTGTAAAATGACTAGAATGACATGTGTGAATTGTCCATCCTTGTAATCAGGACACCTAGTTAGTTCTCATCCTTACTCATCAAACACAAGTTCTTGTAATCACACACATGGCTAGATTCAATACTGCCGGCAAATCATGTAGAATCATTCTTAGATGATTCATCCCATGTCTGGCTAGTATAAATAAGGCTTGCTCAAACTCTTGTAGTAGTAGTATTAAGAAGAAGTAATTTAGGAGCCCGTTTGGTAGCACCAAAATCGGCTGTTTTGGCTGATTCTGCTGAAATTTATGATATTCTGGCTGGAGTGGCTGTTTTGGCTGATTCTGCTGATTTAAGAAAAAAAAATTTAAAAATATATTTTATTAATAAATTAAAGAAAAAATTATATGTAAAAATAGCTAAAATGGTCCTCTACAGTAACTTCAGCCAATACAGCCAGAAAAGTAACTCCAACCTTACTTTTTCGGCTTATTACACAATTCAGCGCGCGAAAGTAAAAGTTACGTGTTTGGTGAAAAAGCTGGCTGATAAGCCTCCGAAAATAGAGTTCTCCAAACGGGCTCTAGAAGTTTTTATCTATATATCTATCTCTTATTCAATCTTCTCAGAACACTTTCTACTGTTTTAGCCGCCTCGAAATGCCTACGGTGGCGGTGGTGAAACACACGCTCTGTCACGATTCCGTCACTGCGAAGACGAGAGGTTTTGAAGACATAAGTTTCCCCTTTTCTCGATAACATGAGATAGGGCTATGGAGTTAAAAGAGGAGCAAGAAGATGCATGTGTAGGAGACTTGACTCATCTAGTTTGTCGGATAAAAGGGAGTTGGTGTGGATTTTGTTGATTTTTTGTGTTGTTGGTGAGAGTATCTTGAAGATCATGTTGGCATCATCCAGAAATTCGTATCGTCAATGTTCAAAATCCATGGTATACATCTCCAAAATTTGCAGGTGAATTTCTCATTTCCCCCCAAATCACTGCTTTTTCGGCATTCTAGTACCCAGGGTTTCGCTTAGTATAGAGCCCGCCCTGTTATATTTCTACTTCTATGCTTAATTTCAGTTTATAATACTTGATCTTTTGATGATTTTAATTATGTAGGAGCTCTCTCCTCTGCTCTACCATTTTGGCTGAGGGCAATCTAACTTTATTGTCATCAGAAAGAAAAACATTATTTGCCAGTTCAATTAGTCCTGAATCTAACACATTGTTATTTCAAAGATCGTTTGCTTCTCATCAGAAGCCAAGGTCGGATGCTATACGAAGTGATGTTTCAATTGAGCTGAAGGCTGATAGAGATGTGGTGAGATTTTCAGTTGGTCAAGAGATGCAGGATGGTCCACTAAGAAAAGCTAAGAAAGTGGCCAGGAAGATTAAAATGTCTAAAAGGGCTAAAGTGAATGAACTTAGGTTTTATAGGTTGAAGGCAAAGAAGAAAATGACATCACCAAATCCTGAAGTTAGAATCAGATACAAGCTTGATAAGGTCGGTGGCAGTTGATCTTATAGACATTCCAATAAACGGAACAAATGGCTTGTTTTGGAAGCTGCATTTTCTTTTTGAAATTGTCTCATGTTTGGGAACATTTTGCTAATCTGAGAACAATATTTTTTTTCATAAGTTTCTGCTGTTTGTGGATCATGCCTTTTTTTCAAATTAAGCAATTATTGTCACATTCAAACAAATATAATAATTTTCAAACGACTTTTGAGCAAAGCTAATCCAAACAAAAAGTGATTTGAATTAGAGTCAACTATAACATACAACCCAATATTTTTTCCCGGCCATCCCAAGGCCTATTGTTATTATGGTGACTATACTGCCTTTTGATTTTGTTTCTGTGGCATCACTGACTATTTGTGAATCATATGTTAGGCTAAACGGAAGGAAGTTTGGTTGATCGAGAAGCTGAGAAATTTTGAGGTTCCCAAAGCTCCAATTGAACCACAGGATCCTGAAATTTTGACTGAGGAAGACCGCTTTTACCTGAAACGCACTGGTGAGAAAAAGAAAAATTATGTACCTGTTGGAAGAAGGGGAGTGTTTGGGGGTGTAGTTTTAAATATGCATCTTCACTGGAAAAATCATGAGACAGTAAAAGTTGTATGCAAGCCTTGCAAGCCAGGGCAAGTTCATGAATATGCTGTTGAACTGGCACGTTTGAGCGGAGGCATTGTTATTGACATTAAACCTGATAATACAATAATATTTTATCGAGGAAAGAATTATGTCCGACCAGATGTTTTGTCCCCTCCAGACACCCTATCCAAAGCAAAGGTAATGCTGGGTTCTCATTTCATTTTCCAAAAAGTTAAACTAATTTTAGAATCTTTTCTAACAATTCAGTTGACTAAACTCCAAATGTCATCGTGTACAGGCATTGGAAAAGTACAAGCTGGGGCAATCACTAGATCACACAAGTCAATTTATTGAGAAATTAGAAAAAGAACTGGAAGACTACCATGAATACCTTGCTCAGAAGAAGGAAAGATATGCTTTGATGAATTTGAATGTGAATGTCTGACCCCTAAAGGTATCGTCTTATTATTAGCATGCTAAAGCTTCACATTCCATTGCCAACCAAAGGTAGCTATCGCGACCAGTGCTCTTTCGAAATAAGCATGTGAACCAAAGCTCCAACGATCAAGTTGATGGTTGTCAATCTTATCATTTAGATTTTGTTACCAAACACCAACTTACATCACTGCCCCAGCTGAATCAGCTAATAATGAAAAAAGTCGCGCAAGAGGTAGTTATTTGGCTTAAACGGCTAAAATGAAAGAGTGACATTTCAACGTTCTGTTTGTATATTGTTTTCTTGAATTTAATAAAGAAATATATATTCAATAATTTTAATGTAAGAAAATTGAGCCATTTTAGCCCCAACTTTCAGAAAGTCAGTCACTCTAAGCTATTTAAGCCTTATAAAATGGGCTCTCACCTGACTAATGAACTGTAATGATGTTCAAATTTTTGTTTAGCTTTTTTAAGGGATTCAGAACCCTTTCATAACTTGATTTCTGAGGATCAACAATGAAAGATGATTATAAAATAAAGTGTAGACATCCGCATCTTTTAAAAGAATCAATTACAATGATTTTAAAATTACCCCTGAATGCCAAATTATTTGCAGGTTTTGACATAGAGGTGTGGTAGTTATTCATTGAAATCACTAACTGATTGGTTCAGCTTGGTGGATCATTATTCAAAGCATGAATTATGGTACGCGGTGGTATTTTACAATTTTCGAATTGAAAGGTTTGGAAGAGAGACAGCCTTGAGAACCAATGCAGGCTTCATTTTCACCATGGGTTGCTTTTTAAGGTTTGGAGAAGCGATGTCTTGCCGCTTGAGCCTTCTCAATGTTGTTTCCCTCGGCGCTTTTGGAGTTGACCAGATAGTTTGGAAATAAATTGACAGCAGGCAAAGTATGCGGGTGGTGGGAACTGGGAAAATGTAGGTTTATCCAGGATATGTTTAGAGAAGGGAAAATGATGAAGGAAAATACTTCGTAGTTTTCTTTTTAATGTTTGGTTGTACTTGGGAAAAGGCAATGGAAAATCTCTTACTTACATTTAGTTTTTGTTTTGCCAAAATTTCTTTTCTACCAAATTTCTCTTCTGTTTTCTCCAAAATTTCTCAGAAAACTATGGAAATGCTATGAAAATGAAATAAATGCCAAGAAAACTTATTTTCATATCTTATATTTGGATTTACTTTCAAATAGTCATGGACTGGGCCCGGTCAGATTCCGGTTCGGGCCTGGGCCCGGCCGGGCCTGGATGTGTAGGAGTGTAGCCCGGAACCGGCCCGGGTGTTGACCGGTACCGGTTTGGGCCACCCGCCCGGGTACCGGGCCGGTTCGGTCCGGGTCATTTTTTCCCTAATTAATTTTAGAAGTGTTGCATATAAAAAAACTTCAAATGCATTTATTTGAAATATGAACTACAATTGAGATTTGAGAAAAAAAATACAATATGAAATACATTTTCTAATAAATAATAATATACGTAGTAATATATAATAATAATAATCAATTGGAATTTCCGCTACCGTCGGTTGTTGTTTCCTTCTTGCCTTTGTCACATGATATAATATGTCTTGTGGGCGTCCCACATCCCGGACTTAATAGTATTCATGTGAAATCTCCAAGCAACAAACTTTCTTGCACCACTTGCAAGTTGCGTACCTTCCACTTATCAAAATTATTTTTCATAAGGTCATATTGATTTTCCATCTTAAAATGGTAGATATAATAATTGTATAGATACTAAAATAGATGTATAAGAGATAAAGAGAATAAGAGAAGATGAAGATGGAGAAGAGGTGTAGTAAAATGTTAGAAAATAGGAGTATTTATAGTTTTTTTTGTACCCCCTCCTCTCACCCAACGGCTATATAGCCGTTTGGGTTAAATGTTTTTCTTAAAAAAAATAGGGTTACTCAGTTAGATCGGGCCTAAGTATATTTTGTTTTCTTGTTTCCTAAATAATTATAAATAATTATAATATTTATAATTAATATATTATATACTTAGGGAATAGATCTGATGAGAAGCTTCTTTAAGCTGAAAAGTGAGAAGTAATTGGAGCCTACTGATTAAATCAGATCTTACGGTTCTGCGTTCCTGATCTTATTTTCTCTCCTATCGGAATAACTGATAATATTTTCTCTCTCCTCATATATATCTGATTTTCTCATCGGCTTCTCTGGTTATCTCTGCTCACTAAACATTCTTCTCTCTTATCAACTACAAAAGAAGAAGATCGTTGCCCAATTGCTGTAATTTCTCCTTTCGTATTTCTTCGTTGATCAAAGTTGGAGGAGCGATCTGAGCGGGTCTGGAATTCGGTTGTGTTTCTGCACCCTCTTGTCTCGATGAAGTGTTTCGACGACGATTTTCTGAAATCCAAAAGGTGAGAATCCAAAATATAAATTTTCTCCATTGGAGACTCTGTTAGTCCGTTCTTCCATTGCACAGACACACCGCACACGATTATCATTCTGATAAAATTTTCTCCCTACAGATCAAATATGAAATCGAAGATTAGGGTAAATTTTAGCAAAATTTCTCACCAATAAACGCTTACGAGTGTAGATTGAGCACAGATTTCATGAATATTTTTTCCAGACTAAAAACTGAGGTTTGAATTATGTTACCGTATGGGATTTTGTTATCGGCTTTCAAGCTTTGATGTGGCCGTTTCAGAGCACTCTTTGAAGTTGTGTGTTATTTACCTTCGATTTGTGGTTTTTTCAGTTTTAATGAATTTCATGTTTAAAATTGTATGCAATTTACAATTCAATCAATAGTGTGTGGTTCTTATAATATTTTGATATTATAATGGTTTTGCTTTGTTTTCATTTAAAATGGCTCTCTACAAGTTACGATTTATTTTTTAGAAGTTATTATTTTGGTTCTATTAGTAGGCGTATAGTGTTTTTAGTTCGTGTTGTGTCTATGTTTCTATTTTGGGACTGGCAAAAAATTATAATTGGAATTTTTATTACTACGTATAAGTTATAGTACTAGCTAACTCTGTAAGTGTGCTGCTAAAAGATCTTTTTTACTTTAACCTTCTTTGAAGACAAGGGCAACATGATAAATGAAGAAGATAATGAAGGTTAGAATTAACTAAATATTTTTATTAGCAACAACAAAAATAATACGGAGTAATAGCTAATATTGAAGTTTGTCTTTTCTATTTTAAATTAAGTTGTGTAATTCGTTGTAAGGTTATCAATATGAGATGGCTTTCTTGCCTGTGTAGTTCTGGTAGGACATCAATAGTTTTGGTTAAACCACATGAAATTATAACTTATAATTGCGATTTCGGTTATTCTTATCATGTTTGAAAAGTTAATATGTTTGTATCTTGATTATTTTGAACATAAAATACTGCACGAGATAAAAGTTATGCATTTATTATTATAAGTTCAGCTTAGGCAATTAAAAGTAATGAAAACAGAGTAGTCGGTATAGTATTTGAGAAAGAATCATTCAACTGTCTTAATCCATATATACATAGCATACATGAACAATATCAAAATAGACTTTGTAGTCTTATTTGTTTGGTTTCACTTTTAATTGTGTTGTTGGGGAATATTATCCTGACCTACTACTGTTCTGAGGCCTGTCGGCAAGGCCCAATTAGGCCTACCCGGCCCAACCGGCCCATTTAGGCCCATTGGCCCATTAGAATAGCCCCTTCCCCCTCCTATAAATAGGAAGTGAAGCTTCCAGTGAAGGGGGTCTGATTTTTGGGCTCTCTTCTCCCTCCCTGCTTATTCCTTCTTCTTAAGATTAGAGAGCTCAAGCAAGCTCCATTAATGGAGGTTTAATATCTTGTACTATGTAAATGAGTGATGGGAGGATATTAATGAGAAAGAGCGGGCTTGGACGTTAGCCTAAAAAGTCCTGTGGTTTTCTCCCTTTCTGGGTTTCCACGCAAAAATAGCTAGTTCATACACATTTTATATTTATATTTACAATCTTATGTTGGATTAAAAACAACATGTGTATAAAGTTATTGATTTTATTTTAGTAGTTATAAATATTACTTTGAAAGTATATAATGTTACATATTAACACTCTTTTATTTGCTACTCATAGTACTAAAAAACGGTAGGTCGTAGTTTCAGTTTTGTTAAAATTAGTTGTATATTGTTTTTGAGCTCTTCAAAATATATGAACTAGGAGTTGGAGACAGTGGCGGACCCACTAAGGGTCCCACGGGGTCCCGGGACCCCGTCGACTTCAAAAAAATACCTACATATATTATATATATATTATAAAAAATGAACAATATATGAACAAATACAACAAAAACTACCTAGGAACTAAGAGGATGAAGCGGCAGGATGGTATCGCGCGTCATTTTTCAGAAGTTTGCTTCTGCCGGGAGGTACCTTGTTCGAATCTCCCTGGCTGCACTGACTTACTTCTTTTTGTTTTTAAATTGTTTCAAACTTTTATTCTAAAAGACAAAAACTACTTCGTTTTGACTTTTTTTTTAAATCCCTAACACATAAACAATATTCCATAACCCGTCAATCGAATACGGAGTACATTTTATTAAAAAGTGTACCCAATCGTCAGTGTATTCTTAATAAATCGTCACTATTAAAAAGTGTATTCTACCACCATCCATAAAATACATTTTACATGTTTTTTATATACGTAGTATTATTTAAATATTAAGTAAATAATGGATAAAATAATTTGAATACTCCGAAATTTTGAGGTTGTAAGGAAAGTACTCCAAACTTAGATATCTAATACTGAGTATAAATAAATATCCCAAATTGAAAAAAAACATAGCACACTGATCATATACCTTTTCTTTCACAAATGTAAAATTATAGTATTGAGTTAACAATTCAAATATTCTAATCAGTTTTAGTGTGAAATTAACATTATAAAAATTATTTTCTCCTTAAATAATTTAAATATATTTTTTGTAATTTTTTATAAAAAAAACACATTATGATATTAAAAATTTAAACTCTCATTAATTATTGTTTACTTTTTCTGGTTGTAGATTGAATTTTATGCGGAGTATGTAATGGTAAAATAAATTTTATAAGTAATTTTGTGTGTTATACTACCTTAATATTTTGAAGATGTACGTTACTAAGAAACGTTATGCATTTTTAATGTTTTACTTTATTTTTGATTAATTGTATATTAATTAAACTTACATTATGTTAGGGACCCCATGACCCAGGTTTTCTGGGTCCGCCACTGGTTGGAGATATATTGTTAAAAGTTCTTAGAAGTTACTTGTTATTGTATAAATTTGCTCTCCTTTTTATGATAGAACTTGTGATGATTGTAAGTTTCAAGTTTTACTTTAGAAGTTCGTTTCTGAAAAAAAAAAAGTTATAAACTTTCGCTTAGTGGTTATAAATTTTAGGGAAAAATACCATTATATGACTAAAACAGGGAGAGTTTCCTATATTGACCAAAGCAGATTTTGTATGTGGCGTATGACTGAAAACACGCATGTCAAATACACGGATATCTAATAAAGAGGTCAATTTACTTTATTACTCAAGATACATAGTTTACCATAAAACAATTTTTTCGTAAGGAAAATCAATCGACATTATTGGTGCTATAATCAAGGTATTATTGTTGTGGGCACCATGAAGCATACAACTTTTCCTTTGGACGTATTTTAATTTGGGTTTGAGTTTTCTATATACATATTATTGCAGTAAATGTAAAGGCAGTATTAATTAATATTCATTGCAATAAACGCAAAATTAAATCAGTATTAAAAATCAGTATTTTAGTAAATGTAAGTGCAATATTAGAAATCGGTGCCCTTATATGATGACAATAAAACCAATACTAGAGGAAATGAGGACAATAAATGCACCAATTAAATCAATCTATTTATATATAAGAAAAGAAATACCTCTTTGAAAGACAATTATATCCCTAAAATAAACATACGTGTCTATCTTAGCATGGTTCTCTCCTTTCACATTTTACGGCCACGTGGCTTTATGAAGCCTGTTGCTTAACTTTTTGGTCATTTGATTTGATGAATATATGACCACTGCCCTCTCT